CCCAGTGTTTAGGGAGCTGTCTTAGTTTGGTCAATGAGATTCAAGTGTGGAATCATACTGATTGAGCACAATTCCGCCATGTGTGTGTTTCATCTAGTCCAGATGTTCGGGGCATCAAAGCAGTCCGTGAGAAGATACGTGTGAATGGCCATAGAAAAATGGAAGGGAGGGATGGAAACGCACTTTTATTCTAAAAGTAAACATGGTGATTGCCCACGGACTTGGGGATTACATCTGTCGTCGAGTGAGGGATGTGAGGTGAGGATGGAAGACCCGTCAGTAATGGCTCCAGCTCTGCTGGCAAGCACCTGTGTTCTGGGTGTGCTGCTGACAAGCCAGAAACGAGGCATTCATGATATAAATCAAGTCTGTGCTTTCGCTCGGTTGTGCTGAGGTCATTAATTCTGGCAACACAGCAGAGAATATAATCAGACATGCTAATCCTAGAAAAATGGGGGGAAATCACATTCTTTAACACTCATTTGTCTTAGTGCTTTGTCCTCCAAAATGTTCTGCCTTTGAGCTAATTATCTTGGAATACCGAATGAATGTTTTCCTGCTATGTCAGGGTCTCTGAAGTCCAAGTCACTTCCCATGATTGTTTTTCCTTTATAGACTTTAAGCCTACGTTGGTAACACCATGTAAATGTATAGATTGAGACGAAAAATATCAAGGTTATATATCCTGAACACAGATGGAGTCCAGTAGAGTTTCTTCTTAATAGTATAATACTGTTTTTCCTGTTTTAACTCTGTATGCATGTTAACCCCTGAATTAGTTTCCTAGTACTATTGTAACAAATTACCACAAACCGTGTGGCTTAAAACTACAGAAATTTATTCTCTTATAGTTCTGCAGGCCAGAAGACCAAAATCAAGTTGTTGGCAGGGCCACGCTTCCTTCCAAGGGCTCTAGGGCCTACCTCTTCCAGCTTCTGGCAGCTCCTGGCTTTCATTGGCCTCTGCCGTCATCTTTACATGGTTTCCCCCTGTGTCTGTATGTGTCCTTTTCTGTCTCACATAAGGACACTCTGACTGGATTTAGGACCCACCCTAATGTAGAATCATCTCATCTCAATCCTTAATTACATCCCCAAAGACCCTATTTCCACATAAGATCACGTTCTGAGGTTCTGGGTTGATGGAAGTTTGCGGGGAGGCTATTCACCCCACTACAACCCTGTTTTAAAGCTGAAATTGAAAAAGATACTCTGATTTGTATTGACACAAGTTGCCTTGGTCAAATATCCTATAAGAAAAAAGTGCTTGGTAACATTGAGTCCCACAACTGTTTTTGGGAAAAATGACCGACCTCTGCATGACAAGGCCCCTGTTCAGTTATTTCTGAAGTGTGTTGTTCGCCTTCTCTGCTTCAGTCAGATGACTCTCCATCTGGCTGGCTGAGCCCTCACCTTGTTTTGACAGGAAGAAAAACCACCAGTGATTGAGAATCCTTTCTTTCATTGGGAGGGAGGAAGCAATAAATAGAGCCTAGAGTAAGTGGACGCCTACAAGTGAGTATTGCATCCTCAGGCTTGCTTGGTCCCCTAGGTCGGTGTACACTAAAGTACTTGCGCGTGCTACCTGTAGCCTCCAGCGCCCAGCTAGTCTGAGAGTATTTAGTTTTAAGCTGACTGGTTTTCAAATTTATAGTCTAATGTTAGAACTTTTTTGTGTGTGTGAGTAAGTAGAGGCAAAACAACGAATGTAAGGGAACAAAATCAGACCCCCAACTCAGCGGTGCCCCTTCCTACCCCCTCCCCCAACCTCTCCCCCATGGAGACTCAAGGACCTGCGGGCGGGGGCTCTACGCAGCGCCTTTTGAGAGTTGAGCATCTCTTTCTCTATCCCTGGGTTCTCATTGTTTTCCAGTAGCATCTGGAAGGAACAGCTGTTTACAAAAAAATAATGTCTGGGCTTCCCTCGTGGCACAGTGGTTGAGAGTCCGCCTGCCGATGCAGGGGACACGGGTTCGTGCCCCGGTCTGGGAAGATCCCACATGCCGCGGAGCGGCTGGGCCCGTGAGCCATGGCCGCTGAGCCTGCGCGTCCGGAGCCTGTGCTCCGCAACGGGAGAGGCCACGACAGTGAGAGGCCCGCGTACTGCAAAAATAATAATAATAATAATAATAATGTCTGGCCTTTGTCTGAGCTCTGTCTTGACAACCCCTGAGCACCTGCTTTGGGTCGGGCATTGCGGCCTCCCCCAGGGCTGGGGAGACAGGGTGAGTGAAGGCCACAGTGCCCTCTCCCTTAGTGGACTCCCGCAGGTGGGCCGCTGGTGCCAGGGGACCCGCTGCCCGTCCCTCCGATCTCTGTTTGAGGGCAACTACCCGCCGTGCAGGAAACCAGGAAACCTCCACACTTCTTGTGAGACTGGGAGGGGACCAGGGTTTGGGCCTTAAATTTTCACGAGGAAACCTGGATGGGAAGGAGATAAAAATAGAGAACTGAGAGCAGAGGGCCGTGTCTTTTATTCTTTTATTCTTACACGGTATAAAGTCTATTAAGGACTAAAACCCCGTGATGGTTGCTGTGATGAGCACATGCTGAGTGCAGACTTGGAAAACAGCACAGGCTTCACTGACGGCCGGCCAGCTGGGGTTGCTTTGGTGTCACGTAGCGTTTCATCCACAGCTGTCAATAAGAGGAAAGGGCTCTTGGCGTATAAATTGTTAGACTGATTTAACGTCTGCAAGATAGTTTTTGTCAGAAGGGCAGCAGAAAGAAGCATCATTATAACCATGTTAAGTTATAAGGGAAAGAAAAATAAAGATGCAAAAGTAAAAAGGTTAAATTCACATATCCTAACAGCAGAGAGCAATACTTAATAAGATAGCAAAGATTCCAGTGTTTATTAAAACTTTTAAACTGAGACACTGATTTCGACAGGAAGTTGAACATCTGTTGTGTCACTAAATCTGTCAGTGAGAATGATGATAGTCTTGGGACAAATTCGAGAGTGAAAGGCCCGTGGTCTGGGAGCCTCCGTCGTCTACGTGCAGAGGCTCTGAGGGATCACGTGGGATCGCCTTCTCGGGGCCGAGGATTGGTAACATGTCACAGGTGGCAGAGGGGCTCTTCTGTCCCTGGCTCGGGTGGAGATGCCAAGCCTTTGGAAGAGTGGTCCCCAGGGGAGGAGGGGGTAGAATTCAGACACCCATGAGAATTGAACATCTTAAATCCTGAAGTTTCAGATTTGCCAGAAAGACCAAAAATGAGAAACAAATGCTTGTTGACCTCACATTCATTTGCATATCAGGCCAATATTTTGGTTTACTTCCGCCTTTCACAGTAGGTCAATTCTGTCTTTTTCATGGATAAGGTAACAATTTTATTGCATGTCTTTTGCTTGACAGTCATTTGGCTTATTCCCATAGTACTTCCTTGTATAAAAACAAACTGCAGAAGCAACGGTGGAGGTCAGTCCCAACCTCCTAATTTTACAGATGAGAAACTCCAAATCTAGTGAGGCAAAGTGCCTTTTCTAAAATTGTAAGCAGTAAAGCGTGATGTAGAGCTGGAACCCTTTATCTTCATGTCCGGCGTTCTTTTCTCTGTTTGCGGGGGAGCAGCATCACCAAGTGTAGGGGGAAGATGGTGGCACTGACTCCAGGAGGAAGAACAATTTAAAAAATTAAAAATAAACTGCAGGTGTGCTAAGAGACAAATGGTCGTGTCGCATTTTTAATAGTTTCCAAGAGTATAAAGCTCCTTCCCTCCAGCTCCAAGGTGCGATTTATAAAGAACGGGATTTGTGAGTGTGTATGCCTAGCCACATAAATAGCATAGCCATGTAAATATCTTGCCAGTCACTTGATTTGCTCACTGTTGTGTTCCCTTCCATACTCAGCTTTCACTCTGCTACTTTTTTTTTTTTAACGAAGGAAAGAATGATTTATATCAATTGTTTTATTCCCCTACAACCATCTTCACTCCTTAGTATTTCTCTTGCTAGCAGTGGCTACAGATGTGTGCATTCTACCAGTTTCTCTGTTCTTGACAGTCACAAAAATCTGTAAGTTGGCTAAATTTGACCTTATGTTTTGTTGACATTTTTATGTTGTTTCTATTTACATAAGAATACAAGTTATGATACTAGGACTTGTTACAGTAAAAATCAGCAGGGGAGAATAACCTGAGTAAACCTGTCTTGCTTTACAAGAATCCATTTAAATTCGTAGGATTAGAGCATATAACCGTCCCACCTGAAGTTTAGCCTAAGCTGACCTGGGAGGTGAAGGGGCAGGTCCCATCCCTCGGTGAGAAAGGGGGCCGGCTGCTGCGGGCAACACAGCAGCAAGATGAGGTGGCCAAGGCCTCCCTGCCATCTGCAGAATTATCCTTTCTTGGCCCTTTTACCGTCGACAAGGGTCGAATCGGTTAACCTTTCCTTGTGTGGTGTGGTTTGCGTTTGCGACGCACGCAGGGATCGTGATCGTGGTGGAGTTCTCTAGCTGCTAGCCTTGCCCTTTTCCAGATGACCTCAAACCCATACCGCTTCCAAAGAGGTGACTTTTTTTCCCCACCGTCTCATTTGTGGTGGGAAGTACCACTTCTTGCAACACTGAACTTTCCGGGAAGCGTTTCCTTTCCCTGCCGGCCCGGTGCAGTGTTTGAAACCATGGGAGCACCACCAGCCATGCCCCGCTGGGCAGCTTGTGGGCAGCGGTGTAGACGAAGAGAGAGACCCACATGGTTGCATTTCTCTCCTGTTTTCAGGGCCCGTTGCAGAGGTTGGATAACTTGGACTGACACGTTTCCTGGTGGCTTGTTGCCACTTCTATTTGCGTGTAGCCCTCTCTGATAGTGAGTGAGCGAGCAATGCGCCTCCTAACTAAGGAGATAACGATAATTCGGCGCAGGACACGCCTTAGAGTCCGAGAACCTCCCAGCCGGGTGGGCGTGGGGCAGTGAGAGGGGGAGGGCGGAGGGGGCCGGGGGCCAGCCAAGATCACCCGGCTCACGGCGTCGCCGGCGCCCGTGTCGCTTGCTTCCCAGGGCGGCAGCAGCAGCTGGACACGGCGCGCCTGAACGACTACGTGAACGCGGACCACGACCTGTACCGCGACACGCGCCGCCGCTCCGTGCTGCCCCCGGCTGAGCGGCCCGGCGAGCGGCGCCGGGCCGAGATGCGGCACCTATACGGGGCCAGCGCCGCCAAGATCCAGGCCATGGAGGCGGCCGTGCAGCTCAGCTTCGACAAGCACTGCGACCGCAAGCATCCGAAGTACTGGCCAGTCATCCCGCTCAAGTTCTGAGCCGCGCCCGTTCCTCTCGCGGTCCCCTCTCCCCCTCTCCCCCTCTCCCGTGGCTCTTCTCTGGGTAAGGCTGACTAATGAGCACGTTCACCAAAGTTCCCTGGGGACGGGGGTAATGTCAGCCACCTGGAGGTGGGCAGGACGTGCCCTGCTGCCAGCATGAGAGGTCTTCTCTTGAGGTAAAATGAGAATTTCTTATACATCCCACTGGTTTTTAATGTCACTAAGAGCGACCAGTTCATTAAAGTTCTCGCTTGGAGATACTGCCTAGTTGTTGCGTTTCTGTTTTCTTGTATCTTTAACCCAACCGAACTAGGCAAAGGCCTTCAGTGAGTCAGGTGTCCTCTCCTGCTCCAAGTCCCTTAGCCCCGCAGAAAAGGATGCAAGCCTGCCGGACGAATACCGCTTCTCCAGCACAGAGCTCGGCGTGCGTGTTCTATCAAGGGCCTGAGAGTTCCTTGTTTTGGCTTTCAGGCCAGGTGGGCTGTGTCCTGACTCCTGCGTTCTGCCCTTGCAGCAGGAAAGCAGCCAGAGATGGTAAGTAAACAACTGGGCATGGCTGCATGCCAATAAAACTTTATTTATAAAAACAGGCCACAGGCCAGGTTTGGCCTGTGGGTGGTAGCTTGCCAACTCCTGCTCTAAAGGAGTGAGAATCCCTGTGTGATGTCCTTCTGGTTATCTGCTTGTCTCTACAGAGCTTGAATGTCATCCAGAATTGAGAGCCAAGGACGGCAGTTCCCAAACCTGCTCACCTCTGCAGTCTCCTCTGTTGTAGGAAAGGTATAATTGAGCTCTTACTACAGGGATTGACTATTGTTTTGATAAAAGAATACATTTCTGAGAACAAAAACCTAAAAATGGACGAGACAGTCCATTTGTAAAAGCCAACTGCCTTCTAAATAAGTTATTACGGTGCGTTGCCAGGGTGAGCCGCGCTGACCTGAGAATCTTACCACGTCCATCAAAGGTTGTTGAAAAGATGTAGTATTAACATGCTTCTCCCTCGGAACACTTAGCTGCACGTTTCAGCCCCTGCCCTGAGACAAATGCATTACTTTTATCAGCCCTGGGTGCTTATTTTTCCAAGTTCCCGTTTTATTACTGGAGTTGCAGTTTGTGCTTGGGTATTGCAGACAAAAATCAGAATTAACTTCCCCTGAGGTGACACGTGACCAAAATTTCAAATCTTTACCAGTTCTCTTTTTTTATTTGAAACCCATACGCCGAAATAGAAAATTAACGTGACTGAGGCACATATACAAACCGAAGTCTATAATTGCAGCAGGTTCTTAGCTATTTGAGAGTAAAGTGTTTCTCTTTACAAAGGACTCTCCTACCTTCCCCCAGAGAAACCACCAGGCTGGTCCCACCCCTGCTGGCTAGTTACTTCCACCTCCCAGTGCTTGGTGTTCCTCACTCTTGAGATGGGCATTCATGATTCCCCCACATGCGGTCCTTGTGCGAACCACCTGGAGTTAGTGCCTGGAAAATGCATAGTGCTGGCCACACAGTATATACTCAGTCAGTGTTGACACTTACTTATTCCCTGTCTTTAATTTTTGTTTTCGTTGCTCTGGGTCTTAGTTGTGGCTCGCGGGCTCCTTAGTTGTGGTTCGAGGGCTCCTTAGTTGCAGCTCGCCAGCTCCTGAGTTGTGGCGTGTGGGCTCCTTAGTTGCGGCACGCTGGCTCCTTAGTTGTGACCTGCGAACTCTTAGTTGCAGCACACATGCAGGATCTAGTTCCCTGACCAGGGATCGAACCCGGGCGCCCTGCATTGGGAGCACGGAATCTTATCCACTGTGCCACCAGGGAAGCCCTAGTCCCTGTCTTTAAAAATTGCCAAAGAGTGCCAGCTATGGAACTTCTTCCAGATATGGAGACATGTCTCCCTGTCAGCAACTGGAATGGATGGACTGGCTCTTGACACCTGAGTCCCACCTGTCCTTCTTCCCTGATGTCTCATTTGTGATCACTTGTGATAGGAGGGACCCATGACTTGTTCATTCATTTACACAGCAGGTGTTTAGTCTTTTCCATCCCAGTTAGCTGGACCATGGCCTCTTCCCTCGGGGAAGTGGCAGCCTGGGAGGGGCAGACAGTTGTGCGATGCTTGTAGTTGCAGTATGTGCACAGTGGAGAAAGAGGTGAGGGCAGGCTTTGTTGGCCTCAGCATCGGTGACATTCGGGGCTGGATCATTCTTTGTTCTAAAATAGTACATACCATGGATGCATACATATGTACTCAAATTGAGAAACTCTCTTCAAAAAGATTCACACACACCAGCTTCAGAATAGAGGTTAGTTCTGAGCAGGGAGAGGATTGGAGTGCCAATCCAAAGGGGTTTTTCTGTCTCCCTGATGTAATTTATAACAGAAAAGCTATGGCAGCGACGCAGCTTTTTTTTTTTTTTTTTTTTTTTTCAGTACGCAGGCCTCTTGCTGCTGCGGCCTCTCCCGTTGCGTTTTTTTTTTTTTTTTTTTTTCTTTGCAGTACGCAGGCCTCTTGCTGCTGCGGCCTCTCCCGTTGCGGAGCACAGGCCCTGGACTCGCAGGCCCAGCGGCCATGGCTCACGGGCCCAGCCGCTCCACGGCACGTGGGATCAGCAGCCCAGCTTTGATGGAGGCCCCCGAATTCATCAAACTTCTGACACAAAATAGTTTCTCTTTCACTTCAGTTTTAGGGTTAACTGTAACATGAAATGTTTATTTATCAAACACTGATACAAGGTTTACTATGGGCCACGTACTTTTCTAATTGCTTTACAAATATTAATTTCTCTAGCAATCAACCTATGACACACCTATGAAGTAGCTATTATAGGTATACAACCTGTTTTCCAAAACTCTTAGGTCAGGTATGTTTCAGAATTCAGACATTGTACTTTTGAAAAGTAGAACAGCATATTGTGGAACTTGTCCCAGTGGGCTGGGGCAGCAGCCTGCCATCAAAGTCAGTTGCAGTAAAATGGACGAATATTCTAAGTGGGATAAGTAAAGACCATAAATATCCCCAGTTCCATTCACGTCAGGTTTTGACATCAAATCCTTATAGTCAAGTCAGGTTTGGCTTGCAAACAAATTATTTAAAAACAAAACGTAACACAACTTCCAGTTTCCAGAGATCTGGGGACTTCAGGAAAGTGGTGACGGAATATTATTTCCATTTCACAGATGAGGAAACTGAAGTACAGAGAAATTAACCAACTTAAGTTTGCTCTCAGTGGTGGAAGTGAGGGTCAAACCCAGATGTTCTGACTCCTGAACTCCCCACTTTTAGCTGCTCCACTCTGCTGAACTTGGCCTCTACAACCATATTCACAGTATGTGTAAAGCACAGTGTATCCAGAGCACGGTGAAGAATCTGGAGCTGATTATGGCCCTCAGCAAGATTCCAGTGTGTTCCATGCTGGAGCACAGGGTTAGGCTCTAGCCTTGCTGGAGAATGTGTGACTCTGGATAATGTACTTGTTCTTTGTCTGAATTTTAGAAATGAGCCTATAGCAGCAAGAAGAGGGGACACAGTCGAGCTATTGAAGAAATGGATGTTCTGGGGCGTGGCAATTTGGGGCAGGTGAGGAAAAGTCTAGGATGGCTCGGGTTTCTGTCTTGGATAGTGGTTCTCATCGTTGAGCTAAAGAAAACACTGAGAAACAGGTTTAGGAAGGATAATTAACTCCATCTGGGGACACAGTGAGTTTGAATAGCTCACAGGATATCCAGTGACATCCTGTCGGTCACTTGATGTTTGGGCTTGGAACTCAGTGGAGAGGGTCCGCATCAAAGACACAGACTTCTGGGACTTCCCTGGTGGCACAGTGGTTAAGAATCTGCCTGCCAATACAGGGGACACGGGTTCGATCCCCAGTCCGGGAAGATCCCACATGCCGCGGAGCAGCTAAGACCGTGTGCCACAACTACTGAGCCCGCGCGCCTAGAGCCCGTGCTCCACAATAAGAGAAGCCACCGCAATGAGAGGCCCGCTCACCGCAACTAGAGAAAGCCCACACGCAGCAACGAAGACCCAACGCAGCCAAAAATGAAATAAAATAAAATAATATATATATAGACTTCTGAGTCCTCAGCCTTACGTATATGGAAAAGGGGACCATATACAGACTAGGAGGAATGGACCAGTGACAGTGGGGCCCTGAAGACAATGACTTTAACATGCAGGTAAAGAGGAGTCTGTAAAAGGAGCTGAGAAGAAATGGCAAAGACAAAGAAGAGGAGAACCAGGAGCCAGAGGCGTTTCAAAAGGGAAAATTATAAGTGGGACAGGTGGCCAGTATGGCTTCTGCTCTGATGCGTTAGGAAGTTGACTTACCCACCAATGAAGTATTTTTGCTAACATATATATTTATATATATATATATATATATATATATATAAAGATATAAATTGATTTATCAAATATATTACAGATATTTTTGTAAATATGAAAACAATCTAATTAAGACTTTACATCAAATTACCAATTTGTAGGAAGTTCAAGGACTAGACTAATGTGTTACAAGGCACCGTGAAGACACAATCAGCCAAATCCAGAATTGGGAAATTTGATACGACAGAAAACCCAATTTCTTCAACAAATGGGCTTTTAAAAAGTGTGTGTTGGAGAAGGGGTCATGGTGGAGGGAGGGACTGTCAATGAGATGTAATGTGTGGCATGAAAGGATGCTCAGCATCATTAATCATTAGAGAAATGCAAATCAAAACTACAATGAGGTTATCACCTCACACCAGTCAGAATAGCCATCATCAAAAAATCTACAAACAGTAAATGTGGAGAGGGTGTGGAGAAAAGGGAACACTTTTGCACTGTTGGTGGGAATGTAAATTGATACAGCCACTATGGAGAACAGTATGGGGTTCCTTAAAAAACTAAAAATAGAACTACCATATGACCTAGCAATCCCACTACTGAACATATACCCTGAGAAAACCATAATTCAAAAATGTCATGTACCACAGCGTTCATTGCAGCTCAGTTTACAGTA